TCAAGTCACTGTATATAAAAGTCAAGAATAAAGCACTAGTAGTTGAGTGCGATTCGGCCCACTATTCAATGACATGAATGAGCCGGGTAACCGACAGGAGGCTCGTCGCGCGGCAAAAAGGCAGAGTCAGCGGACGAGTCGCAGCGCGTACTGTAGTGATTTCGCGTCAAGTTAAATAGAATGTCCATGTACGTCCTACATCGCACATCACGCGCTGCGACTCGTCCGCCGACTCTGCCTTCTTGCCGCGCGACGGGCCTCCTGTCAGGCACCCGAGAGAACCAGCCGATGTACAAGTCAGTGTTTTATCCTCCCAGACAAGTCTGGTACCAATTAACCGACCCGGAGGGATGGAAGGCTTGGTTGGCCCGGGCGACTCACGACCCAGGATTTGATCCCCGGACCGCTCGCGTGGTAAGCGCGCCACTTGCCACTACACCACTTCCGCCCTGGTTTGTTTGCTTTACCAATGACAATGGTACCGTGGCATCCCAAAGTGGCAAAGGAGGACAGACTTTCAAATACCACTGCGACCAAGCACAGAGATGTAGTTGGGAGCGGAGGTGGGGTAGCTACCTAGATTACCATTATTGACATCGGTACCCATCGAATGCTGTTGTTGCTTAGCAGATGTTCACCTGAGCTCGCCAATACCAAGAGGAACGGCTAGATATTCGAGCATTCTACTTCACACAACCTACCATTGTCACCTTTGTGAATGTAAATAAAATCTTGTAACCCCACAATAGCCAGAAGTGCTTTGCTGTAGCCATAATACTCCCAAAAGCGCCACCTCCTCGCCTAGGTCACTACACGCTTTAGAAGATATTACGTTCCACTCTCCAAGTCACGTGTAGTGACTCAGGGGGGGCTTTGGGAGTATAATGGCTCCAGCAGAACACTTCTGTGTGAGCTTTGTCCGCTTCCGAGACTCACCAGCTCTCAACATTCAACATTATATGTGACCGAGACTTCTTCAGGAGGAGCGAAACTTACCGCTTGTGAGGAACTTTCAGATCGTGAAGGCACAGGCAATTTTGGAGTAAACAGTAAAAGAGTGCCAACGACTCAATCTGGGCCTGCAGATTTCAGTTGTGATCGTGAAAGCAACATTATTTCACCCCTCATAAGACCAACTTTTCACAGTTATACACCAGCAAGAAAACTGGTCAGTAGTTGGCCATTGCCAGGAATGGTGCCCAATTCCTCATGCCCTTCCTTGTACTTCCGATGTACATGATACGTACAGTCCATATCTGAGAGTTAGGGTAGGCACCGGATTGACGTGCGAGTAGTAGCAACACTTATAGGCCTTGTGGGACAGGGTCAACCGTGACGCTCGCACTTTTTCAAAAATTTCGCGCCCCCCCCCCCTTTTTTTTAGGAGGTCTCGATGTGACTCCTACCACCACCATGAGACTCAGGAGGTTCTCCGCAATACGACCACCGCTTGCCATCCGCCGCCGTCATGGCTGTTTCTATAGTATTTGAGTAGTTGATTCTGATGGTGAGATCAGTCGACACAGCCCAACTCCGCCCACATTCCCACTTTTCCTTCCGAAACGCCGTCAAGCGGGGGGTTGGGGAAGGGGGCTCATCAAACAATCTACTAACCCCATTCATCTCACTCAACCCCTGAATGCGATCCCCCACCCAAAACCACAAATGCGACCCCATCGTTCGAATAGTGCGAACGCACGGTTGACCCTGCTTGTGGATGAGCTGTTTCTAACATATCCGCCGGATATCAGTAAAGCATGCTGGCAACAGCTTATCTACGCAACTTCTATCAAGTCCACGTCACTTCCGGTGACACGCCTACCCCCAACTTTCGGATATCGACTGCATCTGCTTGAATCCTGAATTTCTGTCGACATAAACGCAGATAACTAGCCTCCTACTACCAGCATTCCTCACCATAACTGCAATCGAGACCCTTCGTCCCAGAAGGAATTCTCACAAAAAAATCTCACGCACTTTACTGACGGCAATCGAAAATGTTGTTTTTTGCAGTTTCTGCAGTTCCTTACCGGCTCGTGCGAATTATGTCCTGGAAGCACACTCACAGAAGAGTTGAGGACCCACGTGCTTGGAGCGCACAATCTTTATCGATATTTCGTGAACGATGGATACAATATTGGTCCTGACGATACCGAATATCCTACTGCAAAAAATATGTATGCAATGGTGGGTAATCGCTTGATTTGAATATGTACGTATATATGTTTAATTATATGTATACCCAATGACAGGTTCAACCATCGCGTTCGCACTTCTCCAAGATTTTTGCGCCCCCCCCTTCTAAAGATCCCGGTGCGAGCCCCTGTTTTGTTGTTGGTTTGTTAGTGACAACTACAATAACATTAGATTATGAAACTTGAAGGCAGGGTCAACCGTTACGTTGGACCGATATTGGAGCGACGTTGGACCGATGTTGACCGCTCTCCGCGCCGGCATTCACTCTCGCCACCCGCGAGCCGTCTGTGTCTCCGTGCGTACGTTCACTCTCGGCATTACTCTCACACGCTCGTCGCGTTGGACTTTGTCCAACGGACGGTTGACCCTGCACTGCTTGACGGTCCTTGAGAGAAGGCGGTCGCGTCGCGGAGTTAGCCAGGAGCGCGCTATCTTTCATCCAGGCGGCGAAGGAACGGGCGCGGTCAGAAAAGATACTTCGAAGAACACAACATTCTCAAATTGTACACTTATTATTTAGGTATATTTGGCATGTGCATGACGTCGGCTTCCAGAAAACTACTAGGTTACCTTACAAATCAGGAAGTGCTTACTGTAAGCAAAGTGGAAAACCCAAATTTCTAAGAAGGCGCACCTCCATTTTTGAATGGCCATAACATCTTCAAATGCGACTTTCCTAAGAACTGTTAAAACTTTCAAAAACTTCAAATATTTTTCTATTCAAAGGCTGTCAAAAGTTTGTAATCGCTTCACTTTTCCCAAAAATCCCCTCGTTCGCCACACTTTTTTCGTGCGAATGCGGGCTTTCGGACTTTCAGTAACCATAACATTCTCATTTTTCGTTTTTATGGCAAACTTTTAACACAGCCGAAGAATACAGATTGTGAGCTTCCTAGTTGTGACTTAATCCCATCTTAAAGTCCACTTTTCGAAAAAATCACACGTTCGCATTTTTTTCTCCTAGGTTTTTGAGAAGTAACTTTGAGTTTTCGAGATTTCAGCAGTCATACCTTCTTCCAAATACCCGTTTTTGAGGCAAAAAAATCAGAACAAAGAATTATTCTTCTTGAACTATTCTAAAATAATCTTGAAGAATCAAATCTGCCTTCTCGAAAATTCTTTTTTCAGCAGCCTCGGGTACAGTCTTTGTATTTATCCGGCTACTCCGAAATTGGTTCAGAGCAATCTTTCTGCATCTGATGAGTCGAATTTAAAGCACTTTCCGCCAACAAGTTCTGCTGCAGGAAGCACCACGCACGCACTTCTGGTTAAAAGTTACGAAGACATTTGAAGGTCTATTTCTTCTTGTTTCACCCATGAAAGCCAGCCATTCCCATCATTGTCGTGTAGAGGTGGCGAGTCCTAGGCTACAGATGTGTTCTAGATTCATCTTTAGAACGCATCAACTTGAATAGATATATATTATCTGGGGCTACGTGTTCATGCCCTTTTCCGGTATGCGGGATATGAAAAGGCCAAACTCGGTATCTGAACACTTTCATCTCATTTTTTCCCCAACCATGCTGTCGTCCAGACCCTCTCCCATTCACCTACCAATGCCAAGCGCCGCGATTTCCGCCACGGGTTTGCGACTCCCCTACCCCACTCCGTGAGAAAAATGCGACCCCCTCCCCCGTTCGAATAGTTCGGACAGACGAGTTAATCCTGCTCAATAAGACTGTATTAGCGCGCAAGATACAATCATGTATATCTTGTGTATTCTTTATCTCTACATTTAGTTTGTTTTGTTTACAAGTTTTTTTCAGAGATGGAGCTGTGGATTGGAGAGATTGGCTAGAGAAGCTGTCGAAGGATGCCCTAGCCAAAAACCAAACAATTCCCTGTATGCAAGCAATATTCTATAGTGAGTATTACTAATATGTTACTATTATAAAACATATACAAAGCGTTTCAGAAGTAAAAAGCATACCCCCAAATTAAGCGATTACCGAGTTAAGGTATGAAGTATTCACGGCTTGCCACCTATTTTGTTGAAATCTGCGGTAATAGTACGGTCACATTCTACTATGTCAGCAAGAAAGCTTTGACTCTGGGCGAGAACGGAAAGCGGCTAAAGGGACGTGAGCTTAAAACTTTGACGAACACTTGAAACCACTTAAAACCCTCCCATCGGATTGAGCATTCTTTGAGAATGCAGCATCAACTGGCCAAATAGAATAATAGAATGTGACAAATGCTGAAGAAAACTAAGAAGAGGAAAGCGCTGTAAACTTTTCAGGATCTTACATAGATTTGTTACATAAGAACATTTTGTGTGATTGCTTATTTCTTTTATTTTATATCAAGACACAGTCCTTGGTGGTTTTTAGCGGAACGAAACAACGCGGATATAAGCAGCCGGAGATTGACAATCTTCTTCAACTCTCGTTCAACGATTTTGCAACCGCACGCTCCAAATACCAATGGGGCAACATGGTACTGAACTTCCAGGGCCCCGAACCGTTGAGATCGCTAGCGAATGTAAGAAGAATTTTTTATATGAACATTTTTCTGTGAAAAAAAAACAGCAACATTTGGCAGATTTATCGTGCTGTCACACTTTCTGTCGGTTGCTCTCAGCAGACTTGCAACGACAAAGCCACCGCCGTGTGTTTCTTCAGCAAACCGTACTCACTTCTATACCTTGTCTGAGTTTGGAAAAAGTTCCGCCAATGTACGGAAATGAAAGAATGTCTCTGATGAGGGCAATGAGAGTGACTTCCCGAGGAACTGAAACTTTAGAAATACCCTGAAATCTCATCAAAGATAAGTCCGCTTTCGTTTCTGCGATGAGACCGCACTTTTTGTTCGGCTACCTGCGCCTTTTGTGCTCGCCAATAGTTTCTAAAGAGTTCGCCATGCTGAAAACAAAATATCCATAATCGAACAGTAGATAACGCATAGAACAAGATTGAAGGCAGACCCCGGCATTAGCCCGACTAGTAGGATGGATACCGTGAGGAAATTATAACGTCCGTGCCTACCTGGATCACTCCAGCTTCGTCGCAAAAACTGCGCAGTTAGGGTGCTAATCCTTACGGGCCTGCTATCATCGACCCCGCAGCAGCAACGCCTCCCACCCATACGGAGATGCCTAAGACTACCATGCATTGATGTAGACATCAGCACGCTCTCTCGAATGGCATGCTCTCTCACGTGTTTTTCTTCTATGATTGCTCTGTCTCATATTACATCCAACCTCACTGAACGCTAAAGCGCCACTAATTCTGCTTTCCCAAAGGATTCCTCTTGCTTTCCATCTCATATGTCAGGATCGTTCCGACAGCAAGCATCACTATGACCGTTATAGCACCAGTTTCATCCGGGGTTTGCCTCTAAACAATAAGAAAAAAATGCTACATTGATGATGCTGACTTTAAAAAACAGACTTATCTGAACCTTCTCATATGGGATTTCAGAGTACGCTGGAGAGGAGTTTTACTCCTCCTCAACGTGCCGCGAAATCCCATATATTTTTCATTCGATGATAATTAATTTGTTTCTGCTCGACAGAGCTTCACAGTTATCGCCCCTTCCAGTTCTTTGAATAATAAACCCCTGTCGGACTTTCGAAGAAGGGAAATTCCCGCAAAAGAGATGCCGGACGGTCAAGTTCAATCTCTGCTTAAAACTTGATCGGGTCTACTTCATTAGAACAAGTTGAGGATCCTGCAGGAGATTATATTGTATGTAGCCCTGATTGCTATCACGCAGTTTGAGCGTTTGTGAGAGCTTTTATAACAATCCATGTCTGGAAAACAAGTGGGACACAACTTGTGAAGCGAAATTATAGTGAAAAACGAGCCAGTTTCTTGAGTGACGATAAATCTTTATTTGTGATATTTTTAAGTCGCTGGCCATGCTCCTATTCCTTATGCTCTCCACAGGTATTTGCTGTAGAAGGAAAATGGGCTATAATAAAGAATTGCTGAAAGAAAAAAAAACCACAAACCAAAAAATAGCAAGTGAAAAGTTTTCTCACTTCACATTGGCAACACTCTCTAAGAAAATTGGCTCGTTATTCTCTGAATCCTTTTCACAAAAAATGGTCCTACTACCTTCCAGGCAAGGATAATTATTTGAAAGGCAAAAGTCGGGCTCAATAAGGGGGTATTATGGCGATTGAAACTGAGTATAGAGATGCGAAGTGGAACGACAGTGGAGAAAAAACTGAGAAAAACCGTCGACAAGGCCGTTAACAACGTACGTTGACGACCGTGTGGTATGATGTCATACCACACTCTTTCGGCCACGTGGGACCGTGTGACATGATGTCATGTCACAGTCTTTTTTAAGCTGGTTTTCAAACATTTTAGGTAACTTATTTACGTGATGTATGCGCCATACTTAGGCATTGTTACAAAAGGCGTGGTCCCTGGAAAGAAGCTTCGGTTGATGGGCTATCGAGTTTTTCTAAAAATGTTTGAATAATGATCAAATCACAGGAATCGCTAAAATGGCCAAAATCGCATAATCGGAGACCTACCACACAAGAAAGATAACAAATACACACTTCCTGAGAAAAAGGAGTTCTCGTGGGACCGTGTTGACATGATGCCATGTCACACTCGCGCGGTCAAAATAATGCGCGCGGTCCCACACGCCAGACAGCGAAAAATAGCGCGGTCGTCAACGTGTAACAAAACCCTCTTCCCCACTAGCAGTGAAGGAGGCTGGCTTGGGAAAGAGGCACGTACAAACAAGTTTTCTGGAGATGTCAGTCGTTCTATCGGTTGATACGGCAATCAACCTAGCTGATTTCACACGTTATGCCAGCCACGCACCACTTCCGGAGGTGGGCGGTCCTGGATTGACCAGGCGGCCCTGGATTGAAACCGAACGCCCCGGGGCCTTAACGGGGTTTTTCAAGGTGGGAAGTTGCTGCAATGTGTGCAGCTACCCACATACAACCTCCAGGCACGGGAATTACTTCTCTAGCGTGCCTGAGCCCGACCTTTGCCTTTAAGTTCTGGAAAACGCGTCAAACTGTGTCCGTTAAGACGTAAACTTCAAAAGTTTGATCCCGCACCAGCTTTGAAAAAAATTACATTGCATTATTCTTTTAAGATACGGCGTTTACCTCGGTTAGCAGTCAGGGCTAGTAATAGCATAAAGTCTAGCACGATGCTTTAGGAAACCAATCGTAATGAAGTGACTTCAATCAAATTCAAGCAGGAATCTACACTTCGCATTTCTTTTGCTGGGATTTTCCTTCTTTGGAAGTATGACAGCGGTTTTGCTTTCGCTATCACCTAAACTCTGAATAGTTGGGTGATGATAATTGCAAATTTCAGCTGGATAAAGAAATACCGAAGAAAATTATGTAGTAGAATCATGATTTTCCGGGTTTAGGCAGAGCGAGTTTTTCCAAAGAGGTGAGAACGAAAAAATCCTCAAGCTGGGGTTTTGTGTTGGCAATCATAGCTGAGTTCACTTGCGCCCAGGGCGAACCGTCCGTTGGACAAAGTCCAACGAGGGGGGTGGGGTGGGGGTCGTATTTGGGCGATCGAAATGAGGGGGGGTCGTATTTCGCAAGGTTGGAGGCAGCGTTAGTGTTATAGTAATGGAAGGATTTTTCATGGAACGGAATGGAACGGGTTAGGTTGTTGGCGGTGTTGGTTGGTAGTTTGGTAGGTTTTGTGCGCTAAAATATACCCCTCCCCAACCCCCCCCCCCCCCCGCTCGACGGAAATTTTGGAGGAAAAAGTGGGCGGAGTTGGGCTGTGTCGACTGGTCTCAGAATCAAATACTATAGAATCAGCCATGATGGTGAGGGTGGAGGAGGGTGGTGGTCGTTATTGGTGGAGCCTCCTGAGCTGATGGTGGTGGAGGTGGGGGATCGTGAAGGATTAACCCTGAAGGGGGCGTATCGAGGCCCTCTAGAAGAGGGGAGGGAAGTGGTGGGGACGTAAAATTTTCGCAATTGTCCAACCGTGACGCGTTGACTTGCGCCATCTTTCTCACTCTGAAGCTTTTCCTAAGTCATTTTTATATGTAAGCTTTTGGGGAAATAGTAGATGGAAGGGAAGTGTTTGTGCGAAGCGGGGTACCTTATGGTTAGTATCTGTTTGCGGGCGGTGTATCTTAGAAGGGAGTGTTTAGAATTTCCCATCTAATAACTTGAAGAGCAGATCCTACGGCACATAGAAGACTCCTTGAACGCCTGATTAGTAAACTAATGCATCCTTAATCCGTACGTAACTTTGTACTCATAGTGTGTGAGCCCTTAAAAGTTCGAAAAGAAAGCTAATGATAGGTTTCAACCTACCCTCTCCTTCAAAAGCGAAGAAAATGCCGATGCAGTACATCGACCAAAGTAACCGACGGCTCCACACGATTCTCCGACATCGGTTAATTTTTTCGACAAGAAATGATTAATCCCTGTTGCTGTTTGTATTCTATTCATTGTCCCACCATTGCCCAACTATCATTTGACCAAAATCAGCTATCGCTATGATTAACTTTCAACCAGATTTACTTGGAGGCCATCGTTGTCGTGACCGACCTCCCTCTGGTCGACTAGAAAAATAGCGTGCTCCAGGGCCAATGTGGACTCAACATGTCAAACGTGTCAAGCCATGTCAATGAGCGCCAAAACCCTTTTCGCGCGCTTCCACAAACAACATTCATTTTTTCATTCGTTTCGTCTCCGGCATCCCGGACGGCCGACTCCCCCTCTCTTTCCGACTACCCTGCTCGTCCTCAGCGTTTCGACCGGGCTCAGCCTATCGCTCTGTTCTTGGAAGTAGGTATTCGTCACATTTTTATATTGTTAATGTGTTCGTTGAATACATGAAGGCTTAGTCAATAAGGTGTTAATGGCAAAAGGTCGTTCCAATGCTTATTTTCACAACTATTCGGTTCGGTTGCCGGGTCATTCACTCGAAGCACGGGGTCGGGTAGGGTAGGACGGGAGGTGGGGTGGGAGTCCCCCTTGTGTCGTGACCGAACCACCGACAAGTCACGACAGTCGTCACTTGTGGTGTTTGTCTGCACCCTGCACTTTCTCGCCCTTTGAAGGGAAGGTTATGTGGAAACACGGTTGCTTTTTGCCTGGAACTTGTTCTATAAGAGTAAATGGGTGCCCTGATTACGAATATGAGACTCGTTTTTGCGCAGAGCCACGGCGACTGTGATTCCATCAGGTAAGCTCGCCTCAGTAACGTTTTTGCCAACTTTGAAGGCTCATAACTTTCTTAGGAAGTTCACGTAGCAGTTTTAGTGTCCATATTTGTAATCAGCGTTCAAGACTCTATCGATATATCCAGGTCTCCTTTCAAGGTTCATGGAAGTTCAAAGCATATCCTGGTTAGAATCTGATCAGCTACTGTCATAACGATAGTCAAGGAACTTCACTGAAAGAATGACGTCAAGCAGTGATATACGAGAAATTGACGGTATCGGTTTGCAGTGAGCTTAGGAATGGCCAGTTAATATACCGAGCAGGCACGCCTTGTAAGTCAGATCAAGAATGCACAACGTATCCCCGGTCAACGTGCAACGTTACTGAAACACTCTGCCACGCTCAATCTTTCGAAACTGTTCCTGCAGGTTAACTTTCGCTCCGTACAGCTAAAAATGAACCGGACTTTTATTTGTCTTCTATTAAGGTGCAAACAATCAGTGCTCCAACAACACAGGAATGACAGACAGCTTAAGAGAGAAGTTCCTCAAAATGCACAATTATCGTAGGTCTGTGTGCAAATCATAAAAAGAGCTAATCCCCTGCCATTCAGGGAGTTCTCCTTCATTTAGGTCCAATATGGCTCTGGGAAAAGTTGAGAAGTTCAACGGCAAATTTTTCCCCAAGGCTGCTAACATGGAGAAGATGGTGACGCTTCCACCTACGAATTTTTGAATTACTCCCGGTGAGTTCATTTTGGACAGGAGTACGACTGCGACCTGGAAGCTGATGCCATGATCTACGCTGAAACATGTGCACTTGTGCCGTCCTATCCTGGCACTAGGAAAGATCAGGGAGAGAACGTAGCTGTGGTGGAGCCTCAGAGTGCGGAAAGTTTCGACAAAGCTGCTCAATGGGTTAGTTGGTTAACGCCAAGTTTTCGACTGCTGAAATAACTGAGCACTGTGAAGCAGATGTATCGCTCAGGCCATGCGATCGTGGTTCAAACCGATAAAGGAGGACGGTAGCATTGGAATTAAAGAAGTAACATTCAAAGAGAAACACAGATATACCCCTGTAGCTGGAGCGACTCAGGTGAGATCCCATCAATATTTTTTTCTGAATCCTAATTTTATTAAGGTGGTGCTGGATATCAGCCGCATATTAATGTTAATTTGATGCATAGGTTGTGTGGTCAACCACGAATAAGGTCGGA